GGTTTTCCTGGAGGAGGAGGAAAGAAACATTTCTGAAGCATGTGGGTGGGTGGCAGGGGCTGGGGGATGCTAGGAAAAGGCCCAGCTGAGCTTGTACAGTTAGCTGCCACTGTCCTCCATGTGCCCAGGTTTTAAAAGTAAAAGGTTGAGAGAGGAGTCTGGTTTGATTTGAAATTTTGCATCCAAACATCCCAGAGCTCGGATCCCCATAATGGGCTTGCCTGAAATACTAAATGCAGCAGGCTAGGATGCAGGGGAAGCTTGAGTCTAGGTTCTGATCCAAATTGTGTAGCTGGGGTCCATCTCTTTAAATAAAACAGAGAAATCTGTTCATGCTGAAGGTATCACTTGATATTTCTCTGAGCAACTAAGCCATAGTTAGTTTTAAAAATCCCTGTGCCCTGCCCATTCTGTACCTGGGTCCCACCCACAACATCTCTTTTTCCCCCTCCCACTCTGTCTTTGTCCCTGGACCTTGCCCGCTCCTGAGCCTTTGTTTCCCCAAGTCCCTCCCCACTCCACACCCTTCTGCCCACAACACAACTTCTCCTTTCTCCCGCTCAGTTGCTCCTGTGCATTTTTTCCATCCAAGAGGCAGCTGGATTTCAAATATTAAGTGATTTCTGCATGTCTAATCTATGAAGCATTATGAGACTTTCAGATGAAAATGCTCCATAAATCTCATTGTTAGTCAGGGTGGATTGATTTAAATCAGCCATTTAAATCATGATTTAACTCATCAAACAGAAACCCTTGATTTAAATAGTTGATTTTAATCTCATTTTACATTGCACTTTTTATTTACCTAGGGAAGTGGTCATTCTGATTGGTTGGTATAACCACGAAAACATAGAATCATAGACATGTAGGGCTGAAAAGGACTTTGGGAGGTCATTTAGTCCAATCACCTGCATTTAAGCAGGACCAAGTATATCTAGATATATGTTGAGTTGCAATTAACTTTGGACTAAATTTGGGACTTCTTTTTGCTAAGCAGGAGCAAACACTGTATCTATACACATTTATTTAAGCATTTACGTAGTTTAACATATGTGTGTACAGATTCTTATCTTTTATGATGTTAGAAAATGGTGAATGACGCATTTTGTATGATGATTTTTTACTTGGGATTTGTGCCAAGCGGCATTTGGATGGAAATGAGAATTCAGTGGGAATGTGCAATATTGTTTTTAATTAGTTAATGCTGTCATGTACTGGATACGTGAGGAGAAAAAAGTAAGTTTATCAAAACATGTTTTAAATTTAAAACTCATTTATTAAACAAAGGAAGTATTAATTGCAGGTGGTGAATGGACTGATTGCTTCTGGATCCCAAGGGCAAGAATTTCAAAGGTATTTAGATGCTTAAAAATGCAGATAGATGCCTGGTGCAATTTTCAAAAGTGGCTAACTGGGTTAGATGCCTAACGCTACTGAAATCTAATCTGCTTATGTGCTTCTGAAAATTGCTCTAGGTGACTCTCTATAGCTTTAGATGCCTAAAGTCCTTTGAAAACCTGGCTCCATGTCCTTCAGCTTTTTAGAATTAGTAGATCTCATCCTCTCCCACCTGTTTTTTATTCATAGAAGTGGAAGAGGAAAACAAGTTTTCCTGCTTTTTCCATTCAACTAGACCAAATGAAGAGAGTTTTCTCTCTGCATCCACTAGTTAAACTGAAAGCCAGAGTAATTAAGGCAAAAGCTTTTCAGTCCACCAGAAACTGAAAGTACTTATTTTTGGATATATCTAAATGCCAGCATTTGCTCCATTGTGAAGACTGAAAATCATAGAGACAGTTAACACAGCACATGCTATGGTGACAAATTCATACAGCTTGAGTTGACCTCAAAAGTTAAAGATGTTTTTCCCCTGATCCTGTATATAATTAAAAAACTCGTTAAATATTGAGGAGTGCCCATGGATGCAGCATTTATTTATTTAGATCATTCTAATAGAACACAGTAAATTTGGGCCTTCCCATAGGTTGTCATAATTTCAAATTTAATTTTAAGCAGGTGCATTTTTAAAAAGAAAAATGTATTTTATTTAAATTTAAAAAATCTGATTTTTATTTATTGTTTTTAAAAATCAATTTCTATCCACCCTGTTGTTACCAGTACTAATAAGAGAAACTGGTGTAGCTGTGGTCTCATAGCTGAGCTGCAGAAATGCTTCCTCTGGGTGCTGTCTTCTTGTCCCTTTGCACCAGTATTTCTCAAACTGTGGTCCAGGGTGCATGTGGTGGTCCGCAGAGAGCTGACTGGTTACAAGGTGCTGGCCCCTCCCCTTTGCTTCCAGCTGCAAAATTCCATTAAAGACAGCTATTCTTCTGCTACTACAGTGTTACCTATGCTCACAACAGGTGGTGTTTTTGTTAAAGCTCGAACTCCTGGAGTCACTGGATTACATGAAAAATTCTTTTTTTCTCTTTTTCTTTCCTTTTCTCTCTTTCTTTCCTTTTTTCTTCCATAAGGTTTCCAGCTCATGTGGTTGTGGAGAAAAACATGACCTGTGAAGGCTCAGAAACTAGAAGACAAACTCAAAAGAACCCCAGATTTTATTAGTTTTTCAACCGAGTTTTTTAACTTGGTCTCATGGGTTTTGGGGGACTCATGATCTTTGAATGCCTGGGACAGGCAGTACTACACTATTCCATCCAAAGCAATTGCTGTATTGTTCACAATGATGTTACACAATTGGGAATGGGATGGGAGGCATCCCTGAGATTATCCCTCTGTTAAAATGTGGTTTTCAGTCGGAGGAAGTAGGAGAGTTATAGGTTTCTAGGTAGAGCTGACTGGGAACATTCTAATGAACCACATGTTATTGGAATTTTCCAATTTGTTGAAATGGAAACAGTTTGCAGAGACAGTTCAATTTTCATGATGTTCCGACAGAAACCTGCCAGCTTGCCTGTGCATCTCTGGGGCAGCCTCCGGGCTGCTAGAGATGCCAGGGCTTCCGGATGCAGAGCTGTGGGTCAGCCCTGGCATTCAGAGTGCCCTGGGGCAAGTGGCACCAGGGCTTCCAAATCCAGGGCTCTGGAGTAGCCTGCTGAGTGGGCTGCCCAAGAGCTGGGGCTCCATTCCCATTTGCAGAGAATTTTGAAAATTTTGGGGTTTGTTCCAAACTGGAATGAAACTGAATTTTGAAATATCGAGCTCCTCCCCCAGATGGAACAACCTTTATATTCCCATCCCTCGGCCTGCTCCGAGATAGACTCACTCTCGTCTCCCGCTAACATGAAACCTTTGTCGGGCAGCCTTCTTGGCCACAAAGCACAGGCTGGTGGAAGCAATGAACCTGCAGCTCCACATGGTAAATGTGGACGATGGAGCCGGAGCTGAACTTCCCCAAAGTTTGAGATATGCGCGCCGGTATGTTGAGGCACGGTGTGTGTGCACATGTATGTTGGGGGGGGGTGCGCATGCATATTGGTGGCTGCGTGTTCATTATCTCACACGTAGTTCTGGAGCAGACCTGTCTGACAAAGCAGGGGTAGTAAGGACGTTGGGTGGTGAGGTCACGCACGCCTTTGGCTCAGTGAAGATGAGCACCCTCAGTCTGTATCTGAGGCTGCTGCCATGTGCTTGGAGGCTAGTGAGCTGTTAAGTTGCATTAAGGCCTCCTACTCCTGGAGCTTGGAATCCAGGCCTGATACTGAGATTGGCCTGTCAACCTGAGCCCTTGGTTCCTCGGGGGGGGGGGGGGGTTAATCACAGCTTGAGTCACAAAGGCAGCATGGGGGAGACTGAATCTGCTCTGGGGAGCAAAGTGCTCCAGCAAGAGGATGGGGGGTGGGAGGGCAGAGCTTGGAGACTGTACACAAGAATGTACCTGCCAGCCTCCTCCCACTGAACAAATCCTCCCTCAGCCCCAGCCAGCTGGCACGAGGGATACGAACAAAGAGTTGTAAAAAGGCCAGAGAGGAAAATTATTAACTTGGGGAATGCTGCTAAGGAGGAATGCAAAGGGACAATTAATTGAGGACTCAGTGTTTGGCTCAGAGGTCTTCTCTTGCAAATGGAGCATCCAAACTAAGCTGCAGGAAAAATATTGTAGCAATTCCATGAGCGCCTACAACATCATCTCTCTCATTGTGCTGCTTGCCACAGCCACAGGGAACTTCGCAGCAGCAGGGATACTGCACAGATGGTCCTGTTCTGAGAGCACTGGCCTTTACCCTTTGTGCTGACAGAGAATCTCCATTAGCAGTATAAGGCCTATGATACATAGCTGAGCAGTTCTGACTCCACCTGGTAGAGGGCAAGACACACACACACACACGCATGCACACGCTAGCCAGCTCATTATCTGTCATCATATTCAAATATGCAAATCGATTTTACAGTTTCCAAAGAGCTGTGCAGCATTTTTATTTATCCAGCACCTAACATTCGTTAGTGCTTTAGAGGTAAACAAAGAAACAAGGTTCCTGCTTTAAGGCGCTTGCCATCAAAATATCAGCTGATGGCACTTCTGGGTCTGATTCTCCCTGGCCATGCATTATGGGCAGCCATTTTTATCAGTGCAAAGTAGGTGTAAAAAGCATTCTCCACTCATGGTGGTGGGACTGTTCTGAGACCCTTGCCCGGGTGTAAATTACGCCAGGGTGCAAAGCAGTGAAGAATCAGGCTCGCTGGCAATAGCTATAGAAAAAAGCTTGTGGAATATTTGAGCTGCTGCTTGTGTTTCTGTGAAGCATTTTCAGCTTCTAGCTGGATTCCTGCAGCTGCTCTGTTTTGGGTCAATGTCCCCCCCCGGCCACCCCAGGCTTTTGGTCTCCGCTAGTCCCACAAGTTCACTGTGGCAAAGGGGAATAACTCAGGCAAACACAGAGCTTGTCCCAGCGCCAAGAAAACATTCTTCCAGGCCAAATTCCTTGACACTTTCCCTTTTACTCAGCTCCGGTTTGAAAAGTACCCTGGTGGAGGGACTTCCCTTCTGTGAGTCACCCCTTGGTCATGAGGGGTGACTCAGCACTCAGACACGAGGCCAGCCACTGGCCTGGGACTCCTGCAGGAAACTGGAAGGAAGGCGACTGGAGAACAAATGCTCAGGGGAGGTGAGGAGGGAATGGAGGTGGCGGGGGTGTGTGTGTGTGTATGTGGGGGGGAGGGGGGGGGAGAATTACAGATGATAGGCAGGAAGCGGGCAGAATGAGAGATGGGGATAATGCCAGGGGAAGAGAAGGAGCAAAGGGGATTAAAAGAGACAGAAGGAGCCAAATTCTCTGCTGGTGTAAATGGATAAAGTCCACCAGAGAATTTGCCTCCCCCCTCCCCCCCGCTACTACAGCATGGAGAAGGCAAAAGAACAAAGAAAAGGAGCCAGATTCTCAGCTTGTGTTCCTCCAACAGAGTGACACTGATTTACACCAGGGAGTGAGCGAGGAGAGGTGGAAGGGAGAGACAGGTGGGAACACAGGGAAAAACGAGACAGGAGAAAGGAAGAGGCAGGGACGGAGAACCGGGAAGTAAAAACAAGCACCCAACTAAATGAGTTTATTTTGGCTCGTCTGGGCTGCAAAAATTTGTACTCATGTTGTTACACTGGTATGTATGTATGGGGGTGGGGGGGGATGTGAGAAAACCTGGATTTATGCAGGAAATAGCCCAACTTGATTATGTAAAGAGTTGTCACTTTGGATGGGCTAGCACCAGCAGGAGAGTGAATTTGTGTGGGGGGGTGGAGGGTGAGAAAACCTGGATTTGTGCTGGAAATGGCCCACCTGATGATCACTTTAGATAAGCTATTACCAGCAGGACAGTGGGGTGGGAGGAGGTATTGTTTCATGATCTCTGTGTGTATATAAAGTCTGCTGCAGTTTCCACGGTATGCATCCGATGAAGTGAGCTGTAGCTCACGAAAGCTCATGCTCAAATAAATTGGTTAGTCTCTAAGGTGCCACAAGTACTCCTTTTCTTTTTGCGAATACAGACTAACACGGCTGTTACTCTGAAACTGGTAATACACTAGCACACATCTGCTGCACCAGTGCGACCCCTCCCTCTCGCCCCCGCCCCCCAGCACAGGGGCCTTGCGCCAGCTGATTCTGTGGCTTTACCTAAATCAGACTCTCTTGAGGTGCTGCACACCTGCTCCGATACAAACTAGCCTTGGAACGAGCCCACACTGAAGTCAAAGGAAGTCAAGCTGGGCCCAGTGTTTCAAAGCCTGTGGTCTGACCCAGGAGTCCATCTCCTTTTGCACATTGTACAAAGTACCATTGATCAGCTGGGAATGACTGATGCTCTATGACATAAACTAACCTGCTGCAGACCCTGCTCAGAGTTACAACTCTTCCAAGGCTCCTCCCGCTCCTGCCTCCGAAAGGATTAACCATTATTTCTGCCCCTAGAGCGAAAAAAGGGCTAAGATCAGGGACCCAGCATCTCATCATCTGGGTGATGGCTTGCAGAACTACTTGCTTCTAGGCTGCTGACCTAAGTCCAGCACACATCAGTAGTGAGGGGCTAGTCTCACTGTGTGAAATGAGCTGGGGTGGGGGAAGTGAAGGTTTCAGTCCAATTTGCCACCAGGACAAGTTTCTACATCAGAAAAACCTTCAATATGTGGTCTCTTTTTCAGCAGCTGCAGCAGAATGGCCAAAGAGACTGAACTCCCCTGTAATTGCTAACTCTGCGGCTGTACTTCAAATAAAAGACTTCAGGGCCCGATTTTGGTTTACACCAAGGCCCCTTTACATCGCTCTGCCTTTAAGGGGGTGTAAACTTGACACCTGATGAATTATTATTTTATTACAGGAGTACCCAGAAGCCCCATGTAAGATCAGGGCTTACAAGCTTTCAGCGCTTTTCACCCACACACAAATTCTCTGACATTTATTTTAAAGAGAAAATAAAAGAAAGCCAGGCCCATGCTTAGCATACTGGAGTTCTGATCCATGACTGGGGCCCCTAGGTGCTACCACACTGTAAATAATTAATAAGGCTTAAGCTGCAGCTATATGTCTAAAATGTTCATCACCCTCCCCCCCCCAAATATTTACTGTGCTGTTACTTCTCCTTAATACAGTACCTCTGTTTGAGATGATGGAAAACTCAGGAATTATATGATAAAAAACATAGCTTCCACCATGCATTTGGATTCGTTTGGGTCACTTTCAGCAGGTTTCATCCGATCTGGTGATGGAGATTTGACCTTTAATTAATAATATAAAGGCCAAAATGGAGACAGAAGGGAGAAAAAGAAATAGATATGTGGGATAATTTAAAAAATACTCCCACTCCATGTGGCATTATTCAAACATTGTAACTAGAGTTGTTTGAAACTTGGAATTTCCGTGGCCGTGGGAAATACCAGCATTTTGGGGGGAAATAAAAAAAGTTCTGGATCAGAATGAAAAGTTGAACTTTCAAAAGTTTCCGCTACATAAAATTTACAATAAAATGCATTTTGGATCAGTTGAAATGTTTCCATTTTTACCTTTTAATATATTATTTTTATTATTTTTCCATTGGATTCGATTTTTTTATTTGATTGTATAATTTGGCAATTGGTTTGGTATTTGGTATTCTAATTGGTTTGGTAATTTGCATGGTCACTGGTCATTTGTAATTTGTTCTCTAATTGGTAATTAGTGTTGAGATTGGTATAATATAAACATAATATAAAAATAAAATTAAAAAATATACAATAAACTTGGATATAAAAAGGCATTTTGAAATGAAAATTCAAAACAATTCATTCTGAGAAGGTCAAATCGGAACATTTTGGATTGATTGAAATGCTCCATTTGGATTTGTGTTCTAAATTGAAATTGCCTTGAAATTGACATGTTGCCGTGGAATGTTCCGAGTTTGATGAAGTGGTATTTTCCGACAGAAAAACATTCCATTGGAAAATTTTCAGCCTGCTCTAATTGCTACTGATATTATGGCATTGCTTTGTGCCAATGGCAGCACGTCCCCGGTGGGTAAGTGCATGACAAGCTCAGGGCTGCTTTCAAGCCGTGTAAATCAGCATAGCACCATTGATTTCAAGGGAACTATGCTGATTTGCACCAGCTGGGGCTCTGGCCTTTGGACTTCAATAGAGCAACTAGGGTGACCAGATAGCAAGTGTAAAAAATCGGGGTGGGGGGTGTAACAGGTGCCTATATAAGAAAAAGCCCCCAAAATTGGGACTGTCCCTATAAAATCGGTTTCAGAGTAACAGCCGTGTTAGTCTGTATTCGCAAAAAGAAAAGGAGTACTTGTGGCACCTTAGAGACTAACCAATTTATTTGAGCATGAGCTTTCGTGAGCTACAGCTCACTTCATCGGATGCATACCGTGGAAACTGCAGCAGACTTTATATACACACAGAGATCATAAAGTCTGCTGCAGTTTCCACGGTATGCATCCGATGAAGTGAGCTGTAGCTCACGAAAGCTCATGCTCAAATAAATTGGTTAGTCTCTAAGGTGCCACAAGTACTCCTTTTCTTCCTATAAAATCGGAACATCTGGTCACCCTAAGAGCAACACCAATTGATACCAGCTGAGAGTCTGGCCCAATATATTTACGCAAGGGCTTGAGTTGCCATCCTTGCTATATCCCAAATATTGTGTGCGTGGGCATCTGCCTGTGTGTAAATTTGTCAAGAGCCTTCGAGCAGAGGACTAAGGACAATGTGGTCTGGAGGAATGTGAATGAGAAGAAGAGCCCTTAAGTTCCATGCCGGATCCGTGACTGACTCACTCTATTTCCTCGGGTAAGTCACTTCATCTCTCTGTGTCTGTCCCTCTCCACGCCCAGCAAAAGGGAAATACCAGTATTGACCTAACTCGTGGGCAGATTGAACTTCCAATAGCACTGGCCGTACAGACGCTGACACAAAAACAAAGAGCCCAGGGGACGCACAAGCTTTTAAAGAGCCGATTCTAATTTTCTGTGTTGCTCAGTCTTCCTCTGACCGCGCCGTTCTCTACTTTTCACGCGCAGCACGGTTAGCCTGTGGAACTCCTTGCCCCATGAGATCACTGACGGCAAGAGTTTAGCTCTAGAAGGACCCCGTGGGCTGATCCAGCCTGGCAGCCTGTGTTCCGATGCTCTGTACGGCACTCTACATGCTACCAGCATGCAGCAAATCATCAACAATAATCAGGTTGAGTTTGGATTCAGAGGTTTCTGAGCTTTGTGTTTTTAACTTTACCCGCATCCAGCTGTGCCACTGACTCGCTGTGTGATGAGACCTTCAGAAAGTTATTGCCCTTCTCCAGGCCTCAGTTTCTCCATCTGAAAAAATGGGGGTAATGACACTGGGCTCCTCCAGAGGGGCTGTGAGGCTTAACTTTTTAACGAGAGCCTCAGATGAAATACACTCTATAAAAAGGCAAAATGAAATCATTTTTTTAAAACAGGGAGAGGCAATATGGTCCAGTGGATAGTGCACTGGCCTGGGACACAGAAGACCTGGGTTCTGTTCCCCACTTGACCTGGGGCAAGTGTATCGCCTCTTTCTGACTCTGTTTCCCCTCCCACTCTTTGTCTATTTAGTCTGTAAGCTCTTTGGGACAGGGATTGTCTCTCACTATGTGTCTGTACAGCTCCTAGCATGATGGGACACAGTGATCTTGGCTGGGACTTGTAGCTGCTACTGTAATACAAACAATTAATCAGACTCAGGAAAGATGAGCCATACGGGTCCATCCGCCAGACTGTGGTTTCCTGCTGCCATCTAATGTGCAAATGGGGCACGGCAGCCCTAGCTGTTTGGGAGCATGTACAGCGATTTGGCTTGTGGAATGCAACGAATGCAGGGGAATAAGGTTACATTTCCTTGCGGGATCTGTGCTCTCTGTTCCCTTGGGAAGATTTTTGCTTTACAGCGTAGGAGTCATCTGGGCCTCAGAGCTGCTTTCCTGGGCAGGGCCCGCCACCGGCTCTTGCCAATCCATTTTATGTGCTCATGGCATTTGCAGCATTCACTCTAAGTGCCCCAGGAGCTGGCCCCCCTGGGCTCTAGTTCTCCCCTGCCTGGTGCCTTGTGGTGTCATTTGCACCTGTGCACAATGAACGCAGAGCAAATTCTGATCGGGTAGCGTGCTTCACACGCCCA